AAATTGTTCTATTGCCATTGATCTCACCTGTTACAAACCAGCAAATATTCCCACTTCTCAATCAACCAACCTAGAGACACCATCCTCTTGTCCACTTGTAGTTGATCTAGCACTATCACAGCTTCAAATAGAACACATTAATCAGGTCACTTCAGTTTCTAATCTACAAAACCAAACTAATCAGACATCCTCCAACGATAATCACTTTAATACTACAACAGCCTACCCTTACCAACATCAAACAACAACAACCTATCCTCACCTACATTAAACAGAACCAGCTTACTCTCACCAACATCAAACAGAACCAGCCTACTCTCACCAACATCAAATAGCAACAGCCTACCCTCACCAACCACAACAGAATCAAATTCAACCTTCCAATACCCATCCTATGCTCACTCGTGCAAAGGCTACTGGACAAACAACCACAGTCTTACTTTCCTCCAAATCACCAGCCATACAACCAGAACCTAATTCCATACCTGAAGCTTTGGCTAGTGTTGAGTGGAAAGATGCTATGCAAGATGAGTTTGATGCACTTTTAAGGAACAATACTTGGACTCTTGTTCCTAAAACTCCTGATATGAACGTTGTTGGAAATAAGTGGGTGTTTAGAACCAAGTTTCATGTTGATGGCACTTTACAAAAATATAAAGCTAGGTTGGTAGCAAAAGGGTTTCAGCAAACTCCCGGGCTAGATTATTTTGAAACCTTTAGCCCAATCATTAAACCATGCACCATTTGCATTATTTTTACACTTGCTGTTTCTTATGGTTAGGACATACACCAAATTGATGTAAACAATGCCTTTTGGAATGGCACATTGAGTGAAATTGTTTACATGCAACAACCTGCTGGGTTTGAGAGTTCAGCCTGTCCTCTACATGTTTGCAAGCTCAATAAAGCATTGTATGGTCTGAAACAAGCTCCAAGGGCCTGGTTTGACAGATTGAAGCAAGCATTACTAGAAAAAGGTTTCCAAAACTCAGTTTTTGACTCTAGCTTGTTCATTCTCAAAGATACAAGTCAAGTTCTTTATGTGCTCATGTATGTTGATGATATTTTGATAACTAGATCCAGCAACTCTTCCATTAGTAAGTTGGTTCATGATTTAAACACTCAATTTGCACTAAAAACCTTGGGATCAGTCACATATTTCTTGGGGTTGGAAGCTACAAGAACAGATGAAGGAATTCACTTAAGGCAGTCCAAATATGTCACTGATTTGCTTGTCAAGACAAAAATGCAAGATGCTCATTCTTGTCCTACTCCCATGGCTGTTGGGACAAAACTTTTTGTTGCTGATAGTGAGTTATTTAAGGAGCCTAGTCTCTATCATAGCGCCATTGGAGCATTACAATACTTAACATTAACAAGGCTTGACATTAGCTTTACAGTCAATAAGCTAACTCAATTCCTTCAAGTTCCAACAGAGCTTCAGTGGCAGGCTTGCAAACGTGTGTTGAGATACATTAAAGGCACTTCATTTCATGGTCTTCTTTTCAAATCAGCTGCCTCGTTGTGTGTCGAATGTTATGCTGATGCTGATTGGGGTAGTAATTTGGATGATAGAAAATCCACAAGCGGGTATTGTGTGTATCTTGGTCCCAATCTAGTGCAATAGAGTTCTCGTAAGTAAAAAGTGGTTGCACTCTCATCTACCAAAGCTGAATACAAGGCTTTAGCTCAAACAACAACTGAATTAGCATGGCTGAATAGCTTGTTCTCTGAATTAGATGTGAAATTGAACTCCATTCCCATAATTTGGTGTGATAACATAAGTGCAGGAGCTTTGGCAGCCAATCCTGTTTCTCATACTAGAACAAAGCATATAGAGATAGATGCCCACTATATAAGGGATCAAGTGTTAGCCAAAAAGGTCTTGGTTCAATATGCTTCGTCAAAGTTACAAATTGTTGATGTTTTGATAAAGGCTCTTTCTATCTCATAATTTCAGGAGTTAAAACAAAAACTTACAGTGGTTGCAGCACACTTGGAGACTTAGTCATGAAATGTACTGGTTTGATTCACACTTCACACTGATTTGTTCAGACTAGATGTTGTGATAATTGTTTAGTCCAGATGATGTGATACAGATCTGCCTACAGATTTGCCTACTGATCTGTCTGCTATTATGTTTTTTTTTTGGGTTGCTGCTATTGTGTTGTTACCTTTTGAAGCTCAGTGCAGGAACCAAAGTGGCATGGCTGTATAAGTTGAGATTTTTTCTGTTTAGCCTGGTTGTTGCTGTTGTATTGTTATCTTTTGAAGCTTAGTGCAGGAACCAAATTGGCATGACTACATAAGTTGAGATTTTTTTTTCAAGCTCTGAGTAAGAACTTCGTGCTTTCTGCGGTTATTGCTGCTTTAATTGCTATTGAGTATGTCACCTTTTGAAGCTCTGATGAAGAACTGAATTGAGAATAGAGCAGTGCAGAATCTGCATAAAGAACATAGTAGTTCTAAGTAAGAACTGAATGGAGAACAGAGAGTTCTGAGTAAGGACTGAATGGAGAACAAAAAAGTGCAGAAACTGAATCCAGAATAGAGGAGGTCACAGTTTCTTTTTCAGCTTAAATCAGCTAAAAGCTCTTTGTAATAAGCAGTTTACTGAAACAAGACCAACGGTTTGATTTACTAGGGGATGTTAGTCATAGCAGTTGAGTGGTCTGGTCTACAAGGGGATGTTAGTCATTCTTGGTGTAAAACAGAGCCGTATAGTTTAAGGGGAAGTGTTTGTCATAAAATGAAGAGTTAAGGATCTCCTTGTAATTTGTCTCTTGCCTCTCTTGTATACGGTGTCGTTTTGTTCTTTAGGTTTACATTGTTTGTAACGATGCTATCAGTTATCAGTTTACTCATCTTTGCTTCAGCTCATGAGAGTATAAAACATGAGCTAATTGTAACTGTTTTTCCTTAACGAAATATCAATAGAAATCCTTTCTCTCTTTCATCCTCTATTCTTCTTTGAGATTTACTGAACAACACGTTTCAAAGGCACTCATTTGAAGACTCTTCGAAGGAATGAAATCGACAAAACATTACACTGGGATTACTTGTCAATCTTAAAGGCCTTTGAAATTAAAGATCAATTTATGGTTTGCTGGAGAGTTTCCTTGTCAATCTTAGTTTCATAATTTTTGGTGGGTTTGGTGCTTACTTTTATAGTTTTATTCCCTACATCTTTTTTCCACTTTTCTAATACTATTTGTAGGAAAATTCAAACACGTAATTCTACAAAGCAAAGAAAAGTTGTGATTGAAATGGTTGAATATAAGCACTGCTTTCTGTCTCACAAGTTAAGTTAAATCATTGCTCTAGGTTATTTTGTTCCTATATACTTCCCAGGAACTAATGAGCATTCAGTTTTAGTCGTAGAACTTGCTGGCGTCCACTAAATTCTTGTGCTGCAATTTGTGAAGCCATTTACGCAATTAATGTCGCAATCTACAAAATTACCTTACCAAGAGCACTACTTCGTATGAAGTGACTTTCCACAAATATTCGATCCACTGAACTAGAATTAAAATCGGCTCATCAACTCCAAATAGAACCAAGAATTTGCGTAGCCTCTTGAAACTTTTTCTGGACGTAATCTATAATTAGAAAAACTATTGCGACTTAACGCTCTAGTACTGTAATAATTGGGTACATGCATTTAATTTGTGTAAAGTTTCACTATAGGATGTTGAAATTTTGTATGCATGAAAAAGAACGGTAGCCCTCAGTTTGTGTTCTTAATCCCATTTTTATGACTATATTAATTATCCATGCGTACGTGTTTCTAATTCTCTGATATTGCTTGCACTGGTCAATAATGTCGAGGACTAATAATGGCTCCAAGAAATGACATGAAAGTAATAGGAACAGAGCCCCTCAACTTAGTTCAAATCTGCCTAACCCAGCATTCAGAAGGCATTGTTTCAAGGACACTTAAAAATAATTTGACCCTTGCGCCTCTTCCCCATTATAAATTTAGAGTAGCTTGCAATTCTTAAACCAGAACCCCTAGACCTTACTACTCAACCATTTATCTTATCTGCAAACATTTGCCTATATTTTCTCTTCAACCATTTTCCATGGCTTCTTTGAGCAAAACTGCTCTCGTCTATGTTCTTGTCATCACAATCTTCTATGTACCTTCTTTTGAAGGTAGAAAAATCTTGAGCGTGGAGAAAATGAAGGCCGTCCCTTCTCTGGAGGAAAATTTGGTTTTGAGTGGCTTTAATAAGGAGGCCACAAGTACACTTTCTTCTGGGAAACAGTTTGATTATAAACTGGGTACAAATGAAAAGTTGAGTGGCATGAACATTGCAAAGGATGTCCCAGTTCTGAAGAGATCAGTTCCTAGTCCTGGAATTGGAAATTAGAAAACATTTACTCTCAACAAAGATAGAATAATACTTCTTCTCTCTTGGTGATTTATAAGTGTGTCATATGTTTCAGTTCCAAAATCAATTACTTTGAAATTCTAGCTAGTTAAAGTGTTGTGCAAAACAAAATAATCATATTGATCAAACCTTGAAATATTCATGTACTTTGACTCTATGAAATATGTGTTGTTAGTGAATATATATATGTGTTGTATTTAATATTCTTTCTCTATCAAAGGATGAAGGATGACTCTCAACTTGCTAGAAAACACTCTGTAGTTCCTAAGCTTTTGAATATCAACCATTACACATGTATTTATAAACCAAAAGTCTGTTTTATGATCATATTTTTTTATAAAATATTATATCATACATCAATGATTTAATTTATTGTTAGTTTGATGGGAAAATTTGCTATCAATGTGAAGCACTGTCTTGTGTTTATGATTTCAGAGCTGGGAGGAAAGTCTATACAATTAGAAATAAAAATGAATAGATGTAGAAACATATAGCTTCAATAATGAAAAATGTCTCTGTCAAGAGTGGTAAAATTGATTATTTCTACAGGGTATTATCAATTTAATCACTTTTTTTTTTTTTTTAAATTGTATAAGGGAAAAATTATTAACCACATTTTACATCACATATGGCATTCTGCCTGACAAATGAAAAATACTTGACAAATAGAAAATTTCAATGAAGACAAGTTTATGGCAAGTAAACCACCACTGGGTGACCAAGTGGTCAAGTAAGACTTTTGAGAGTATTACTCAAGAGGTTCCGAGTTTGATTCACCTCAACGTTTAATATGAGTGGTCATTGAAATTCTTATCCGACAGGTAATTTTAGAGTTGCCAGTTTAGTTTCCTATAAATAGGGCCGTTTCCATTTGTGAAGTATTCCATGTTAAGTGAAGTCACTTGAGAAATAAATTAAAGTCATACTATTCTCTTTGAGTTTGTTTAGTCCCTCTCTTAATATATTATTGCACTTTCATCCCTTTTCACTAGACCTCACAAAACGGGTGGGTGGGCCGAGTACGGTTCAGGTCAAACAGGTACGGGTCAAACGGGTACGGGTCCTTATACGGGTGCAAAATGTTGGACCCGTGCCCTACCCTGTACGGGTACGGGTGGATACGGGTGAACTCAGTGTTTCTTAGTCCTCTGTTATGAATGACAAGAAGAAACAAAAAGGGGAATTGTTTTTTGAAAGCTTCAAAAATTACAATAGAGTTAGAAAGGACTTGATAAAACATAACCAACCTGCTACATTGTTGACAAAATCTCTGCTCAAGGCCATTCACAATAACTTTAGCTGTCTTTGAGTGAACCTCACAAACTTTATGCCTCTTGTGGTAGTCTTTTGAGGAGCTGAGATCCTTATTACAACCATAAACTTGGCAAAAGGCAGTATGCGAAGTAAGTTCGGCTAATCTCGCTCTCTTTGGAGGCGTAGACGACTCCGAAGAAGACAAGAGAGGGGCTCCTCTAGAAATCTTAGAGTTATGAGCATGAGCATCTCTTTGCTCAACAAACCTGCCTAGCTTTAGATCAAAAAGTGATGAGTCCCTACTGCTGTTGGAGTCCACCACAGAGCTTGAAAGCTTTGAAGTGGACTCATCTTCAACAAGAAATGAGCTTGAGGTAGGCATAAATGGACTCATCATTCTTCCACTACTTTCTTTTCTACTCAAAACATCTCTAATTGGATTGCTAGGTATTCTTTTTCCTACCAATTCTTGAATACCAAATTCACTAAAACCTTGGTTCTCAATAGCTTGTTGTTGACCTGAGACTAACATGTTATTACCAAAACTTTTCAATTCCCAGCCTATCAATATGTTTTTACTTCTTGCAGAAGAATCCGAAGGTGAAATTGTATCATTTGCGATAGATCCTTTCCCCCCAGAAACATGGCTCCAAGACTCCATTAAATTGCATACAAACCTAACACACTTCAATTCAAGCAACAAATTTAAACTTTTTCTTTAAACACTTTTACCCAAACACCAAGCTTAATTAAATTTAAAATCCTAACAAGTTTCACCCTGCTCAAGAGTATCCATTGAAGAACTTTACTAACGCTTGAGAGAGTACATAACCCACAAAAGAAAAGCCAAAAGTTTCCTTCTTTGAAAGCTCAAACAGTCAAGAAACTCAGTCCCTGAGATATCAAATGCACCAAAAAAGAAAAACCATTAGAAAAAAGCAGCAGCACAAGAACGCAGACAGATACGAACAAAAAAGCTTCAAACTTTGACAGCACATACACTTGAATTCAATAATGAAACAAACAACGAACCAAGGGAAGTGAAAGATCTTGTTCGTGCAAAGACTAACCAAAAATAGCACAACCAAAAATACCAAAAATAGATCAGAGATGTGAGAGATCAGAGATGAGATGAGAGTGAGAGATCAGAGATGAGATGAGACTGAGAGAGTGAGGCGTGAGTGCGTGACTGTTGCAGTGCTGCGTGAATGGCTGAATGGCGAATGTGTGAAAAAATTAGGGATTAAAAAAAAATTCATTACTGCAAATATGGGTGCTCGCGGGTTCACCCGTATAAACCGTGTGTTTTTGGGCTGGGTACGGGTATGGGTCTAAAAAAACGGGTTTAATAAATTGGACCCATACCCTATATTTTTTACCCAGGTACGGTCCAACCCGTGGGTCTAGACCCGTTTTGCCAGGTCTACTTTTCACTTTTCAGGATTCTCTTTTATTTTATTTATTTTACAATTTGTGATTTTGAAGTATAGAAGATGATCGCTCGTAAAACAAGATCTAGAAGCTTTAACACTTTCCATCTCAAGACAAAGGAAGCCCAATGAAAGGCAAGGAAAAGCTATTTTTTTTTTTTTTTTTTTTTTTGTTGTTTTTTTTTTTTAAATTTGTAGGTTAAGACACAAAAGATAAGAACAATCCGATTATCAAATAGGACAATTTATGTGCAACAACTTACATGTATAAAGAACATCAAATTGTGAATCTACTTAAAGTTAAAAAAGGGGCCATTTATGGGCCTACCAGTTAAAAATAATTGATTTATGGAAATTACTAAAATAACTTTTTATTATAATTATTACTTTCAATTGAAAAAAAACCACATGTCAAAATACAAAATTTTCCATTCGAATAGACTTAGGATAAAAAAAAAAATAGGAAAAGATTATAAAAAGAATACTAAAAGAAAAAAAAAAAAAAAAAAAAAAAAAAAAAAACAGAAGGCCAAACGGCACAAAGCTTCAATCAATGAACTTTTCTAATTCTTAGGTCAAGGCATATCAGATTATTGGTTTATGTATTTGATTTTTGCATCTTGTTCCATATATACATTTTACCATAGATATTTCATGTTCGATCAAATTCTTTTTCTCATTTTTTGGTATTATTGACATCCCTATAAATAGATGATATATTTTTATATTCATCACAAATTCGAATTTTCTTGATTGTATCAGCTAGATCTTTGCATTCTTTTTTGTATATACCTGTCATTTTATCATAAATTGAATGTCCAGACTATTTTCCATTTTTAGGTATTATTTAAATCCTTATAAATAAATGAATATAGAACAACATCAATGTATCCAACCAGCTCTAAAACCAATCTATCTAACATGTCTAACCTGAGAATGACATTTCTCCTTTTTGCTATAATAAAGATTGGCTCACAACCAAATTTTACAAACTTTTTTTCACAATCCCGATGTAACAGCTCGCAATTGGTCAGTTCGTAATTGAGCAGACGAGATCCATTGCGAGCTGTCATGTCGGAATTGTGAGAGAAAGTTTGTGAGATTGAGTTGTAAGTGTAGTATTATCCTTTTCACAATTACAATGTTCTTCTCACTATCGTGTTGCATGCTTGGGAACTCTTGATCTTGAACATTGAACCTTATCATCGTATTTTAGGATCTGGTCCAAGCCCACATGGAATGCACAATTACCTGTGGCCGCCCTGATAGATCTTGATCATCGAGTTTTAAGATTCGGTCCAAGCACTCATGGATCTGGCCATGACGGCCGTCGCAACCACCGCCAACAGTGTCCTCCCTACCAGATCAGTCGTAGACCAATTTGAGAGTTGGTCATGATGGGGCTAGAATGGAATTATGGTTTTATTAATTATTCTTCTCATGCATTTTCATATTGTGTTTCATATGAATAATAGCAAAACATCTATGCTAGTGCATGTAATTCTCTTTTAGCAATTCATATGGGACTTTTGTTGTCATACTCATACCTCTCATCTCCATCAATACTTGCAATAAAAGTTGTTATTCAATCGACATATATGCATACTTTATATTTCAATTAATGAGTCAAGGATTTTTTTCTCACCCAAATAATAGCTTAATAATACTTTTTCACCTATAGACTTTTAAAATACTACTTTACTACCTAAATTTATATTCCAGTGGTAAACAGAGAGCAAACTTGGTTTAGACTATTAGGGCTTTTGAAGAGGGGAGGTAGATAAGTATTTTGGTGGTGAAAGGTTGGATTTTGGTGTTTGAGATTGATCGGAATTTGACTTGGGAGGGACGGCTGCACAAACCCTAATCGCGCTATTTTCGTTGGCAGAGTCTGCGGGAGTAGGGTTTGAGGGTTTTGGTGAGTAATGATCAGATAAGAGAATGACGGTGGTGTGAGGTCGGAACGAGGTTGGAATCAGAATTGAAATATAAATTTGGATAGTAAAATGATATTTTAAAAGTTTATGGGTGAGAAAGTGTCATTAAGCCATTATTAGAGTGGGAAAAAGTTGTTTACTCTTCGATTAATAGAATTTATGCGAAACAATAAATGTGCAAATAATTAATAATTACATGATACTTTTTTTTTTGGTATGATAATTACGTGATACGTTTTTGGCTTTTCATGAAATTAATTTAAATGAAGTAACCTAGCAAAATTACATGCATTGCTTTTGCTGAAATTGGAAACTTGGAATTAATTTTTGATGCTTAAATTAGATCGAAGTTGTTTTCCTTGATTAGATAACCATGTACGATTATACCTCGTGCCTCTATTGGCAGCCCTTCCTTCTACTGTTTTAGCTTCAAATCTATCTACAATTTGGATGTTCTTCGTCAGCCATATATCTTCAGAATTTAAGAGCCCATCCTTATTTTAATAAGAGTACACCAACACAATATGTCAATAACAGACCATTAATTCTAAATGGGAAAAATAATTTGCAGATTGACTTATCTGTTTACTCAGATTTATTTTAATATATATAACTAGGAAAATGCTTGGACTCTTGTCTACTGAGATTTATGGCCGGCAAAAGTACTATTTTTATTTATAAGGATGGGTACATCTTGTATTAGAATTATCAACTGCTGTTGTCATGAAGGCAATATTTGACTGACGTATTGACTAAAAATACAGTGGTTTCTTTCAGATTGCCGGGGACAAAAAAGTTCAGTATGCATGACACTATTGCTACTAGTGGAAAGTCTGCAGCCTGCTGTTTCTGGTGCTCTATATAATATATATAGCAAATTCTTTTTTATATTAAGAGAGGCTATCAGGGAAGTTGCCCCCTTATTTTGTAAGTGGCCTAATTTTTTCAACTCTCATATTATCACAACTTGTAATGAAACTTATATGTATTTTTGTCAACTTATGAATTCTGTGTGGCTACATTAAATTTTGATGTTAGGACATCATAGTGTTTATGCACAATTGTTTTTGTAGCTTTCTGTTGCCATGACACTTAGTGTTAGTGTCGAGACAATTGCCCAGTCAAATTTTTCTTACACATGTCATGTCTTCATTAGACATTAGGATATTCTCGAGACCAAAGATATGAGAGAGTGGTCCATGTACACATGTTAATAAAATTCATTTAGCTTTTCAAAAATGGTCTAAGAAAGTAGATGAAAACTTTCCCAAAATAACTAAACATGTAAGAAATTGTCGACTGGTTGTCTAGTGCATTGTTGAGCAAGTTTTTTTTTGTATTCGTCTTTAACCTTGCATTATCTTTTGAGCCTTAATATACCTTTGATTTTTCTTTGATTATCATTTGAGGTTTTCTTTATTTTTAATCAGGTTCTATATGCTTTGGTAAGCTTTAAAATACCTTGTTAACCTTTGTTGTTAGTGTTGTTGGAACAAGTTTCCTTTGATGATGCTTGATGGGATTTTGAGTTATTGGAGTTGAAGGGTGTCTTCGGCATTGAACCTTGAGTGGAGCTCAAGGTTGTCCAGGTTGTTTCCTGGTGTAAAGCTAGTTGTGGTAGAACGAAGTCCAACCAGAGGGTGAAGTTTGAAGTGTTATCATAACAAGGAGTGTTTTACAACTGGTGCTTAACTTTGGCTTTATAATTAAGTTATAAATGTTTATCATACTAGATTAGCTTCGTCTGGACTTGGTCCCATGGATGTAGGCAGTTGGCCAAACCATGTAAAATTGATTTGTGTGCTTTACATTACGTCATGGATGTTTAGATTATGTTGATGATGAATGAACAAACCCACAAACACAAATGAACATGTTTAACCCATTCCACTTAAGTTTAATGAACTTGGTAAAGTCATAAAACAATCAGAACTGGAGACTTTCAAGTGACTTGGTCTCTTTCCGAACTTTTTTATTTTTAAGAAGATATTTCCTTCTTCGTTTCTTTGGTTATGAAACTATTCCTTGATATCTCTGAAGGATTTGTTATAAAATATATAGCCTAACCTTGAAATTGGGAAAGGTTCATTGGTTATGAAGTTAGAAGGTTTTGCCGATTCACAATTTACAAGGCCAATTGCAACATTAGAGCAGCCACAACTGACATATAATTGGTCTTTGACACGATCTGACCCGACCCTCCTTATCCTATAGGCTTCGGGTGCACCCATGATACTCAGGTGATCGAGACGTGTCATGTGGGAAAAGCTAAAAAATATAAAACCTATTTTTCT